ATATAAATGTACGCGCGCTTCATTAATTGGACGGTGCAAGACTGAAATTTAAAGAAACAATTTTGGTTCAGTTTTCTATATATAGCTTTCTGGACCACAAAAAAGGTGTATTAATAGCCCTATGTAAATGAAAATACCAAATATCAGTGGCGGATCCAAGGGAGAGGCCGGGGGTGCCCGGGTTCCCCTTATTTTTAGGACTTCTGGGGCCCGTTTCTCAGATTAAGTCCCAATAGTAATAAAAGACAGGAAACAAAACAATTCAAATAAAGAAATATAAAGTGAAGAAAAATACGCGGGTCCGGTACATGCAGAAAGACCCTATTTTTGTTTTCGAAATTAACTTTTCGGGCCCGAAATCAAATGTTCAAATCGAAATATAAAGAAGAAACGGGTCCTTGCAAACTTCTCCATTTTGTTTCATTAACTGATAGTTTTATCATGCTAGCTGCAAAACTACTGAAACGGGTCCCAGGGCCGAAAATTTTTTTTTTTGAAGACCGCCCCCCCCCCTCCCCCCACCCCCCTTATCTCAAGCTCTGGATCCGGCGCTGAATACTGTCTCCCGTTCATCCATTTGTTGTATGTGTTGTGGTGTGTTGTGGCTCAATTTTATCCTTACTTTAAGTTTTATTTTCTATTGTTTTTGGTTATGGTAATGTATGATAGTGAGTTTGAAACAAAAGTACGTGTTTTTTTTCCCCTTTAAAAAACCCCCAAAAACCATTAAAAACAAACGATCCATGAAAATTGAACCAGGTGTGGATTGGCAAGCCAACATCCGCATAGAGATAATGATATAAAATAATAATGATAATAATAATAATAATAATAATAATTTTTTAAATTAACGATTTAAAATTTTATTCATAGATTTAAAAAAAAACTATTAAAATATTTTCCATCCCTAATAACAATTATAAAAAATAAAAAGTTAATAAAAAAATAAAAACTATTTTAAAATTGTCTAAAAAGTTACTACTTAAACGATCCATGTAAAACTTTGTGCTCTTCAAATCCTGGTTCCTCAGAGACCCAAGGGATCGAAGGATGGATTGGCCCTTATCCAAGATATGGCCAGTTCAGTCATTAGCGGTGTCTTGCATTCATAATTCCACCTGTCCTAGAGATAATAATAATAATAATAATAATAATAATAATAATAATAACAATAATAATAATAATAATAATAATAAACTTACTTTATTAAACTCTTCTCAAAAATTAAATACAATTTTAGTATAACTATAGTCAAAAAAAACTTCTTGGTGGTCCGGTGGTTTTCAACAGAGCAAATGTAAACAACGGTCTATAAACTAAAAAAACAAATATAATATAATCATTATATTTTAATATAATATAATATAATATAATATAATATAATATAATATAATATAATATAATATAATATAATATAATATAATATAATATAATATAATATAATATAATATAATATAATATAATATAATATAATATAATATAATATAATATAATATAATATAATATAACATAAAAACATAACATAACATAACATAACATAACATAACATAATATAATATAATAATAATAATAATAATAATAATAATAATAATAATAATAATAACAATAATTCCATTATTTACCCGGCCGAACAAATGCCTGAAACAATAATTCAAATCAAACATAACAGGGTTAAGAATCCCAACTGGCTGAAGGCAAACCAGCTGGCTATTTACAAGCATGGCCGAGGATCTGAACTCGGAACTACCGTGAAACAAATCCAGCTAGCGGTCAGGGCGGGTCCTGAACTCGGGGCCTCTGGATTACAAGTCTAGCGCTCTAACCACTCGGCCACGCTCTCTCCTATAAACATAACACCTGGATTAGAATATAAACTGAACTGGAATGAGTCCGACGCGATGAAAACGTTACAGCATGGCATTTATTATATTCCAGCGAATCATGAAGTTTCTGTACAGATAAAATTGTGTGGCATAGAAAAATAGAAGTTAACAGTTAAAAACTATCAGATACAAATTTGTCATATGTTAAGTATGTACATTATTAAACAAGACTAGAAATAATTTGTTTTGAAACGGTTACTGCAATACTTTTCAGAATTTCACTGTTAAAATGTTAAGCCACTTGAAAGTTTCTGTCAAGCTTCGTTAACAATGGAACTACTATTTAATTTTGCTGGCATTACCGAGCATAGAAGTACAACCGTTGTTTACAAGATTAAAAATATGTCAAGAAACAAGAATTCTAAAAACAATAGGGCCATTTATACGAGGAAAAATAAGACGCGTCTTAAATAAGACGTTGTTTACAAGATTAAAAATATGTTAAAAACAAGAAATTCTAAAAAACAATGTATTTCTGTTCTTGACTCGTTTTCATGTCGTTGCCCGTGCAAGGCAACCAAAAAGAAAAAAGAATTAGAACGCGAAATTTAAAACTTATCTACGTAAAATTGACGTGTAAAATGTCGTCTTATTTTAGACGAAATGTACCGTTTATACAGAAAGTCTTATTTAAGGTTTTCGTATAAACTGGTTTGTAGTCGTTTCTTGAGAAAAAGAGAAGAATTACTAAAAACAAAACTAAAACTCTCTATGTTATATTGTTGTAAAATGGCTGCATAAAGAGTAGTTTTCAACTGGTGAGTGAGCAATCTGATTTCTTGAAAAGTTTGTTTCACTTTTTCTTTTAAAAAGCAGAAAAAATCGAAAAAAAGATACAGCTTGCGTAAATGGCCACTTATGTCCAGAAATGCAAGCGACAAGAAATTAAGGCACTTCATAGTAGAACAAAATTATTTGTAATTTCCGTATGACAGGGTTCATACAGAGTTTTGGATCTAAAATTCAAGGCTTTTTCCAGACTTTTTACAAAACAATAATTTCTTTTTCCAGACTCAAGGATATCAAAAAGGTGATCAATGCAGACCTTTTTCCAGTTCTGAAAAATTGCTGGGCAAGTTTCAAGACTTTTTCAAGAATTGAAGACTCTGTACGAACCCTGATATGATTTCACGACTAGGGACACTTCGTGATGTCCACCATAAAGAGCATGAATCTCATTAGCTAGCAATCCTGGACATAACTGTAGCTGGCGGGATCAGAGTTAAAGGGCATATGTCATGACGTTATCGCTGTTTAGGTCAATTCTGTGCTGAAGTCAACACTTAGTTCCTTTAGTGGCTCAATTTAGGTTTCTAGAAAACTGCCCACCTACCCCTCCCGTAAGCCAACATTGACACTTACTTCTCAATGGCTTAGGGGAGGGGTAGCTGGGCAATTTCGTAGAAACCTCAAGTGATCCCCTTAAGTTTAACCATACACAAAATGCTCCTGAACAGTGATGAAGAATAAATCAAACAAATTTCGTCAGGGAGCAGCAACCATGATATATATTTTTTAATGACTTTTGCCGGCATATCTGACTGAAAACTGAAAAGGCTGGACCAACTTTTTCAAGTTTCAATTCATGGCCATCCTTGCTATCCGTTGCAACAGACAAGAGGAATCTGTATCAATGCCTAAATATAATCTTATAATACAAAACTAGATCATTCGTTTGGGAATTAAATTGATGTGTAGACTAGTTCTAGCGTTTTAAAAAGATAGGAAATAGCATTACGTAGCCCCTTCAAAGGTCAGCAGGACCCGGTTGTTCGAAAGATGGATAGCGCTTTCCATAGCATAAATCTCCATCCAGTGGATGGCGCAATTAGTTTTTCTAATACTTATCCGATGGTTAGTGATTTATCCAGCAGATAGCACTATCCAGCGTTTGAACAACTAGGGTCAGCCCGTGGCGTGGAATGAAGCAGTCGCGCGCTCATAATCCCGCCAGCCAGCTATGCAGATTAACAGACACCACTTTCGCGTTAAACCAAATCCGATACGACCGCGTCTTCCCGCTGCGCTGGGTAGCGTTATTTACTTAACTTCCAATTGGTTGATTAGACTCTCGTTCTACCATCATCATGTGGCCAGGATTATTTATCATGTTTGGTTTTACGGCAGTCAGTTGAAAACAACTCTTATTCATTTAAGACATTCATTAAAAATCTTCATTAAAACCTTGAAAATGAAAATGTTTGTTACGAATTACAATTTCCAACGCAACTACAACTGTGGTCACTCACGATTCATTGATACAATTCGTATCTTAAAAACGTGTTCAAAATCCCAGAATAATTTGAAGGACTAGATTTACTTCTTAACAAAAAGAGGGAATACAAAATAACAACTTTCTTCCATTTCCAGGTGGAAAACATTGATAACAGCCGCTAAAAAGCAATGTTGAGAACTACTAAAAGTGTACATGGGCCGACATGTGCCTAATCATTTGGTTTATGAGCTAGGGCGGTCATAAATGTACAAAGACAGCGCCTAGACCATGTAAAAACATGAAAAATTCACCGTCTGAATGCACGTCATGGTTCTTTCAGTTCCAAATCACTTCAACGCTTTGCTGAGAACAATTAAAATCTATTAAAGACTGAAAGCTGAGACGGGGGAACACAACTCAGGATTCTAGTCTACCAGCTCTCTTGTAGTTTAGATTTGTCAAAACTGTTCTTATATAGTATAATACAAATTCTACGTTGCAATCCAAGGAAGAGACAGTCAAATTACGATTGAATTCACTGCTTCTCTTCTGAATATAATTCATTTCATTATGTGTATAATTTCTAATGAACAAAAACCAAGGGTCTGTTGGCACTAATCACTTTTAAGTGTTTTGTTTGGCTCTGTACATGAAACAGTTAAATTTTAGGCATTTTAACACCAGAAGTAAAAATTTCACTGTAACAGTAATTTTTCCCCAGAATAAAACAAAAACGGCCCCTAAAAGGCCAATTCGCACTTACACATCTCCCAAAATGCACCTTGCTTGCCCCCCAAAATTTTGCATATGCATTGTTTTCAATTTCTCTCGGGACGGCTGTAATACCAAGGAGAAATGAAAACCAACGGTTACGCAATTTTTTTTTTTTTGGGGGGGGGGGGGGGGGCAAACAAGGTGTATTATGGGATATGAGCAAATGGCAAATATTACTTTGGTTAGTATATCAAGGAGTTTTCGGCCATTTTATGCCGACAATCCCGATTATTTCAGAGGATTTTCGAAGACTACCGAAGATGTCCGAAGAACCTCCAAACACTTAACACAGAATTTTCTCTAGAAACACTAAGCCCCACTCAGACCTTCAAAACCCAACTCACGAATCTAAGAAATACTAAAAAACAGCAAGAAGCAACTCCTGCTAGGACTGACTGCTATTCTTCTGAATCTTGCCTGAACAAGTAGTTTCCAGTCCCAATCTAGCAAGCGCCATTTGGCCTCTCAGTCTCATTATCTCCCAGTATATCTCCGTCACTGTATGTCAAACAAGAAATAATTAGAGGAAGATCTTTTGGCATTCACTTAGTTACTTAACAGGAGGAAGAAGAAGAAGTATTAGGTTATTTCAGTTAACAACATGTTGCTCAGACCGCGGTCCAAACTGATACGTTTTCGTTTAATATATACATTTAGTACATACTAAAACAGTGGATAGTGTTTTTTGCGCGCTCCGATTGGCTGCTCAATCAGTGAATATCCTGCACTATTCACTGATTAACCTCCAATTCCTCCGAGCCAGCGACGCCAAACTCGCGTAAGTTGCGAGCAAAATCCAAATTGATCCAAATTGTCATGATTCTCTTCCAACGAAATTGATCTCCTTCGTTTTTGATCTCTGGCTCTAGCTCTTTCTCTGTTATCCACCTTAATGTAGTCATTAAAATTAAGTCAAAAAAAGACTCGGCTTTGTTGTTGTATTTTTCTCTCTAAAGATCCGGGTAGCCATGCGATTTACCGCCGAAACGCGCGGGTGCTTGAAATGTGAAAATTTCTCCCCGGTGTACATGAATGGGGGAAAGTACGATCGTACGGACGATTTCTCAGAACCAAATTTCTTGGATGCATAGATAACCAAATCTTTTTACCCATAGTGCTCCGGCGCGCGAGAGAGCGCCGCTAAAAAAGCTTCAATTTTTATGCGTTTAGCCTAAAAACGATCAAAACTCAGGCTGTTTAAAGCTGTTTTAAAATAGCAAGGAAACAGGAGGATATCGTACACAAGCCTGATGAAGGGTTCAAAAGGTTATGGTTTGTGATTGGTGATTGGTGGATTTCGATCCATTTTGTGTGTTTCCATGTGTCAAGGTTCGTTGCTTGTAATCGTATTTATGATTGAAGGTAGCGAAAAACGCAATTGTGAAGGCGGCTTTTGAACTTCAGAGTTCGCGTGTTTTTGAAAAGCGCAATAACATAAAAAAGGAGTTTTTCATCACCTACGAATACAACCGCCTCTCTTCGCTTCTTGCAGCGTGGGACGTTAAGGTGGCTAGAAGCGAGGACAGACGGATGAATTGGCAGACTAAGTTTTTCGTAAACGAATTCGTGTGGACAGGGCGTAAACTATTTAACAATTATTCCTCGAGCCCGAATGGGCTCTGAGTCAATAGCCCATGAGGCCGAAAGCCGAATGGGCTATTGACTCAGAGGCCATGAGGGCGAGAGGAATAATTGTTTTAGTTAAATCCAACTAGTTGGTCAAAAATATCGAGAATAAAAAATTTTTGCTACTTAAAGCTCTGAAGCTAGACTTTAATCCTTTTTTGCCGCCAAAAAGGGCGCGCTTTTCGCTACAAGTAGGCTATAACATATAGCCTAGTAGTAGCTCAACCAATCAGAACGCAGCATTGATAATAGACCACTAGTTGGATTTTAGTAGAACATGATATGACTGCAAAACGTACCATCTGCCTTTATAAGTCCCTGCTGAATGTAGCGTACGTAGGTATAAAAATCACAAACTGCTACAATCTAGAACAAAACAAAGACACGGTTAATTCGTAAAATTGACATTCGAAAAGATTTCTAACACAGTAACACAAGTAGCAAAACAAATCAACAAACGACTTCTCTTTGATTAAAAAAAAAAAGATAACATCATGTGTCTTAGCCTTTCATTAATGTTGTTGAAACGTTAGCCACTGTCAAAAAGGGTTCAGTCATAGGTTTGCACACACAAGTCTCTCGTAACCAACACTTCTAGAAGATGACCACCTCCCGTTAAGAGACGTTCTTCAGTTATTTGTTTGAATTTCTATTGGCCATTTTGAGGATGAGCGTGGGACTGGGTCGGTGTTGTTTAAAGCTGCATTATGGGACTGATTTTGGGGACGCCATTACTTCTTTTATTGGCTATCACGAAGTTGAGCGGGAAAATGGGTCAAAAACTGTTCCCAAGAGTCCCATAATACAATTCGACGCCACACCGATCCAGTCTCATAGCAGCGTTCCACTCAATTCTTTCAAGCGGGGGGTCTTGTACACCATCTGAGGGGTCGCCAAGATCATGTCCTTAATTTTTTTGCGTTATATTTGACTTAACACTTATACACTTATATCTCATCTGTTGGGTCAGGAAGCCTTCTTTGTCGAGTCATTGACCCGAGACCCGTCTCTTATTTGGAACACTGCATAGCACCACATCACATTGGCCAGTGAGGCGGACAACTCGTTTTGAAAATTCAGTTAGCCCTGGTCCCAACTCTATCCATCTTAGAAAAACTAAAGATAACTGCACTAACCATTTACAAAAGAAAAAGATGAAAAGAAGTCGGTGTTGTTTTTAATCCACAAAAGTTCTGGCCCCAGTTGTTCAAACGTTGGATAGTGCTATTCACTAAATAAATCACTATCCAGCGGATAGGTTTAAGGGAAACCAACTCAGAAAGAGGTTTATCCAGTGGATTATGTTATCCACCTTTTTAACGACTAGGACCTGCTTAATAAAGTAGAAAAAGGAAAGCAGTTAACGAGTACTCACCCTTACTCTGCTGTTTCGACTCAGGTTGTACCAGTCTCCTTTTTCTGTTAACTTTACACGATGAACACAGAACCGTGACGTACCAGTTAAAGCACATTTCCTGCTTAAAAAAAAGGACAGAAATGATAGAATTATTAAAATGTAAATGTGCGGACCAAAAAAATAGGATTTTAAGGCGTGGGGGGGTTAGCAGCAACCACTGTAAAATTCTCCACTAACGGTTTGCCTAAGCTGCGATCAGGTCTTCTTCTTGAAAGGAAGAAGGACCGACTAATCGCAGCTTACAGTTTGCATTGCGGCAGGTTTTCAGTCACAGGTTTGCGTCTGCAAGGCGATCATCACTGGCTGGGGGAGAACGGCTCACTCTTTAGAAAGCCCCTGATGAAGATTGAAGACATTCATCTACCCGGCAAAATGCTGCATCTTCTGGTCTCCTGCTTTACGTTACGCGTAAAAAAGCAAAACCCCCTTGTGAGCTAGGTAAGGCTAAGATCGGGGCTGAGCAGCGGTTTCTGGCACAGTTCGGCTGTGAAGTTAATTAATATTACATACCTAAACAGAGGTTTGCCAGTGAATGTTTCCATCATAAGAGTATTGTTTTCAATTGCACTGTGTACTGCAAGGGCGAGCTGAAGAGACAAGAGAAGACAATTAACCGAGAAGCGCAAAATTGATTTGAAACTGGAAAGAAGTACTTTAGGTACATACAATTAAACAATTTCTATAGAACCGCTAAAATTGTACATCATACATGTACCAGATTTAGCTTTGATTGTCTGAAACATTTTCCGCAGAAGTATTGCTAAACGCAAGTAGTCGAAGTTACCTTGAGTCGCTAAAATTTTTCGCGAGCAAAACAACCGTATTTTGTTGTTGGTCACTATTACAAGCTCGCAATAATGTAGCTCGCGCGCATGATTTCGGGGCTTCGCGCCTTACGAGTAATTTTATAAAATAAAAAACCGACTTTGAAACGTAAAAAAGTCTACCTCTTTGTTAGGAAAGTTCAAGCAAGGGCCCACGTCTTCCTTGTAAATCCTAGCTAAAAATGGCTGATCATGCGAAACGGAACGTTCATCCATCCACTGTAGAAACTCGCGGAATAGAATGACATCCACCTGAAACGAAACAGATATTTCTCTGTTATTTCACAAGCCTGACAAAACAGCCGACATTTAGCGACGTCACCACTGGTTTACACTCGAAATGACGTGTGAGGAAGGAGCGCAGAAACTCCATACTGATGACGTGTCACTACCCACATCTGGGTACATGTAGGGCGTCTGATTGAATTTCAAAAAGACTCAAGTTTCCCCAGAATGACCAAACAGATACAAATTTTATAGCGCCGCTTAGAATGCATTTCTAGATAGCCTTAAGTGTTTTCAATGCATTTGGGAGGAAACCGTCCTTAGGTGCCCCTGATTTTTGGACATAACTCCTGATGTTGGAGATGACTGTTTGAACTCTATCCACCACAGTTTATTGTAGTTTGTTTTTTATGACGAGAAAATAAAAAAGGAAATTGCTACCATGAAGGAGGTCTGGAAACCGCATCTTAGTTTCCATGATAACATTTTATGGACTTTGGCTTGGAAATTCCTCAAATATATTACACTTCATTTCAGAAGCTGTATCAAACAATTGACTCAATGCTTCATCTAACATCTAAACAACTTGAGACAAAACCAGTTATTGATGTCTACAAGTCATATGTGACACCACATCTCAGGTTTCATAAATGTACAGGGCTAATAACTACAGAATATAGGCCAAATTTCCTAGGTATGCTCGTTGGAGCAGCTCAGTGAATCGACAGTCCCCACAGACGAGCAACCGAGCTGTCAAGCCACTAAAATAATATATATACCTTTCTAGTCCTTTAAGATGCTAACCTCGACTGACGAACCATCGAGCCACTAAAGCGCAAAGAAATATACCTGTAATACCTCTTTAAATTTTATACTTATACGCCTTTTTTTAATGTCTGTCTTATACTTTAATTATGTCTTATAATTATCTTTCTCGTTCTTTAAACAGTTGCCATGACTAGCAAGCCACCGGGCCACCTTAAAATATGGTCCTATGTCCTGTAGTTGCTTACTTCAGTGTCTCCAACTATTGTCTTTGATAGCCATCTACCTTATCTTATGATGGCAGCACCTTTTCAAGTTCTTGAAACCCTGACTCATACCTAGTTATCTTGATAAAATGTAAGGTATGGGAGCGTCAGGTGGGGAGACAAGGATCACTTTTCAACCCATTGTACGAATGATGTGTTCCCATACTATGCAAATTATGAAGAAGGCTGGGGAAAAGTCAAATTGAAGACTTTCCCAAACCATTTTTTTGGTCAACCAACCTCTGGTTCATCTTTCATGGTGTCCCCACGATGATGAGAATGTTCAGCACATGTTCCATTAAACCTTGCAACAGCAGCGTCGCAGTCATAAGAGCCACATTCTACACATGGACTGAGGTGCTCTGTACTGTGTCGGCGATATCCCATCCCTTTTTTGTGACCGGGAGATGATGCTGATGTTAACACCAACTGCTTCAGTGCAGTCACCTCGGCCTGGAGTACTTCCACCTGGTGTTGGTAACAACATAACTTATAGATCTACGTATGATGAAGTTCTTACATCAGGTCCCTAGTCAGACTTTTGGCATAGACAAGTTAAGTTGTTGGCCACTAGTTGGGGGAGGGTCTGAAAGAAGTATTATGATTGTTATCCTCTACTGGTTTGAGAAGTGGTACTCTGAACTATGTGGACCATGTTTTGGCACGTTATAACTGTTAAGCAACTTTTTTAGTGTATGTTTGACAGCTTTGTATGCACGCGCTTTTATCTGTCTCATTTAGGGCATCAACCCTCTACCCAAACCATGGTTCACCTCCCTTTGGGGTACAATACTCTATCCACCCTACATTGCCTTATCAATTAATACTCTCTTCTCTCCAGCCATCTCTATCCCTGCTCCTGCCGTGCGCATCACACGAAGATGAGTGGGGACGAGTCAGTTATTGACACTGCACACCAACCTTATTATTTGCTTCTTTGAATCTCTTCTCAGCTGCCGCCTGTTTTACTTTTGCTGCTCTAACCATTGCATGCGCCTCCTGTCAAAATAGACATTACATTTATGTACGACTTTCAATAATATATAAAATAGTTACAATTATTAAAAACGTACATAGGAGATCTAAGGCAAACATGATAGCCTGCATTGCAGATGAAATCTAACCCCAGCTAGTAACATCTATGAAGCAAGGCAGAGATCCTTGTTCTGGCCCCCGATGGCCTCAACAAACTACCAAAAGTGTCTTTCAAAAAATTCCCTTCAATTCGATTGGCAAATCAACAAATTAATAGGCACAGCTGGCTCATAGACGGACTTGACCAGAGCTTTAGTCTCAACATGGCCCATATGCTAATTAAGGAAAACAGCACAAGCAAGATACATACTACATGCATAGTTACATACTTTACTGTTTCCTCCTCAAAGGGGCTTTTCAGGAACAATCATTATTTACAAGTATTACATTTAACTAATTACACCACTACAAATTAATACCAATTACAATGCTTAATTAAATTACCAATTACAATACGTTTTAAACTTAACTAAATTATCTAAAAGCTGCATGAAGTTGCTTCCTTAAGAGACATTTACAAATGTGAACAGATTGGCTTAATTTAAGAGGTTCTAAATTGTTCCAAATCTTAATAGTCCTGTAATAAAAAATTCTCTGTCTGGAGGCTGTTCTGAAAAGAGGGATCTTCAGCTTTTGGCTACTGCGATGGTTTAAAAGTGTTCTTGTGAAAAAATGAATTCCCCAAGTTCTGTGCATTATTACTGCTCTGCAATATAGTATTTGCAAGTGGTTGTAACAATCATGACATCACCATTTCCATCATTATCAACAATTCATACTTGAAATTATGGAAGGCCACTCCATGAACCATAAAGCACAGCATTGTTATAAATGACATACTACTATTGTGACAAAAAAATGTTAGTGAATGCGTCCCGTCTGAAATGTCACTACTAATATTGCAAATGTATACACACATTATTTTATTACTTAATTGAAGCTCTGCATGGGCCATGATGAACTTAACTTGCATTTCCTTTTACTTTTATTCACATTTTGAAGTTAAATTGAAAACCAGCAAATGCAAAACATACTTTGATCAACACTACACCAGTTTCATAGTATTTTTCAATTACTATTGATATTTTCACGAATCAAAAATTTTAACAAACCTGAAATAGACTTGCTGTTAATTCCTCTAACTCTGCCTCCAGTTCATTCCTCACCCTGGACAGCTTTTCACATTCTTCATCTTTCAATTTAAGTTCCTTCACAGCAATAAAACAAAAATATTAGCATATTTCTTTGATATTATTATACATTGTACTCACTATGTGTATTCTCATTGGCTATAAACCTGCAGGTAATTTAGGAAATTAGAGCATTAACCTACAGATTTTTATTTAGTTTAGGCTATCCTCTTTTTTTTCTCCATTTAGCGTCATCTGACAGACCCAAATTTTTGGCACTTTCAAAAAAATAAAAGAAGAAGTAACGATGTAGATAAACCATTTTTCTCTTGAAATAATTCTTTTAATCTGAAAAATGAGCACAGTAACAGTGTAGAGAAAAACAGGAACAAAAACAGGAACATTTTTTTCACAGTATATTGTGCATTTTGTTAATCCAAATATGTAAATGTTAACTTTAAATGTCATCCTGGGGTAACAGGGCCTCCTATTCTGAGGCTCCATGTGATTTTTTTTAGAATTTTTTTTCCAATCTGACCGACTGACCCAATATCAGGAAACGCATTCGACACTAAACAAAAAAAAGGATGGCCTTACATGCATATATATCTACTAGCAGATACAGTGTAACTGACTAATCTGTGGGTTGCATGCACAATGCATGTTTTCCACAAGCAATGTCAAACTGGTATTTTTACATGTCTCAAGTATTGGCAACTGACCATAATATTAGTTCTCTTCTTACAATAATAATAAAAATTTCATTACTAATGGTTTACTATACATTATTTCTATTAACCTGTAGCATGCCAGCAAGCTCTAGTAACATCACTCAAATACCGGACAGTTCTAATTGGTAAAAATTAACATAACTAAATCCCTTCAATAATTCTTTTTGCATACATATATATACATCATCATTTACAAAAATATGCAGTGGTCAGTAATCGTTATTTAAAAAATCACAAAAATGCTTGCAAAGCCTCTCACTTCTTGAGCTTTCTTTAGTTCTTCTTGTAATCGATCAAATGCTTGTGCCTTTACTTCCTCTCGGCTTGGAGAAGTTGGGGCACGATCTCTGAAGGAGAACTCGTCACTGGCACAACTATCATTCAATGAGCTAAAAAAAAATTACAATATTAATTTAATAACAACCTTCAACCTGGAATAACTTGAAGTTAAAAATAATATAATATTAACTTTTTTTAATCTTAAATTACTTAAACAGCCACATCCTCATGTGTAGACTTTTTTCCCCCTCTCTCCCCACCCTGCCCTGGATGGGTTAGATGTCATGTTATTGCATGATAGCCTAGGAATGTTCTGAGTAGGCTTAAAGGCAAATTTAAGAGAGCTGCCAGGTGGCACCAGGCACCACTGTAGCACAGCCTTAAAAACTTTGTGACAAATGGAATACAGTCAAAGTAATAAATTATTACATATCATAAATGCACAGTTACTGGATTTTATCAATAACTAAGTGGAGTTGAACGAACAGGTGGTAATGTTTTGATCCTTGGTATAACTTATATTAAATTTTGCATCACCAGGATTCTGCCACAAGAACTTACTTCCCACACGCACGGAACTTACATAGTTTTATCGTTATCTGATGTTGTTTCTGGCTAGATTAGGACTGGGACAGGCCATTGCAAAATGAAAACTTAATTATCAGACAAAAAGAAGGAAATGCGGGTAACTTTTTGGCAAAAGAATAAATAAACTCATAATAAAAATACAGGAAGACCGAAATCGAAACTAAATGTGAGATTATCTGAGAATATCAATCGACTGGGCTGTTTCATACTTCTAGAAACGACGTGTAATACTGCTACATTATTTCCTTGAGGAACAAATATTTTTCTGCAAGTATTAAACCAGTCTTGAACAAGGTGATTGATATCCTTTACATAAGACAATAAAAAAATATTCTAGGCTTATATATATATATGTAATGATCATGTGTACTGAAAGCATGCAGTACAAATCGATTCTGTGATAACAATTACTCAAATCTAATCTCAACTGGAAGCTCTCAACTTCTGTTTCTCTTACCTTCCGTCAACAATCATCTGTCCTTCATAATCAGTTACCAAAACACCATTCGGCGGGGATGGAGATCTTGACCGTTCCTTGTTTGTAAACGAAGCCCTAGATCGCTCTCTCGCTCTGTTATATTGCAGTTGGGAAGAATTGCTACATGTTCTATGTCGAATGCCCGAACCAAAAATATCAGGCTCGCTTGAAGTTCGCTTCAGTATCGATTCTGGCGACAGAAAATTTGAATCCACGTCAGTCATGGAGAAGTCGACGAAGTGTGAAAGTCTACCGAATAAAAAGTTGGCTTTAGTTCCGTCAACAACACCACGGCATGAATCGCTTCTAGAATCCACTCATTGTATATTTATAGAGGCCCAGTATTTTGCATACAGCCGCAACGATCTGCAGACTATAAATTTGCGAAATTATTCATGAGCAGTCCACAGAATATAAGCGGGTTCTCCTCGCCAATTTATATCGTCCCGGTCAACGTCCCGTCAACAAATCGAAGACAAAACAGTGCTTTCGACAGCCAAATGCTGATCAACGATTTGCATTCGAAACACAAAACACCAGCTTTTGCCAAAATGAATTTACCGCTGAGCCAATATCACACAAACCCAATACTGAACATTTACAAACTGCAAGTTTAAAGACGATGGTTCACGATCGATCTGTCGTGACATCGGATATTTCGTGCAATAGAAGGCAGACGTGGCACGTAAGTGTCCAGATGAAAGAATGATTTCCGTGAAGCCACCGCTATGTAAATTAGACGTGAGATAGTTCAGCTGCTTGCAGTTTTCCTTTCACAGTTTCGGATCAGATACCACTTGCTTCAACAAATATTAATTTTCTTTGCTTGTGCACGGGAAACATGCAACGACAGATTTCTCAACAGTGGAACCCAGTCTCCCGGCTCAGCTGCGTTTTTCATCCCTGTGAAGGCACTTAAGTTGACTCGACCCAGTTATTTTTAGGAGGTACCACCCTACTTTGAAGCACTCTGGTATCCCCACTTTACTTTTATCGTAAGTCTAACACATAGAGTGGATAACATATAGATCAATCTAAAATATAGTATACAATTTTGGGCGATCGGAATAAATGTCACGTGGTTATACTACTTCGCCCCTTTGAGGTCTGAGTCGAAATTCTGCTGTTGCCGGCAGTTTTTCGTGAAAATCTCTTCGCTACACATAGTGCGCAGTAGTGCCTTGCGCTGAACAGAGTTTCGCCAAAAGCGCAAAGACCCAATGCGAGAAATTGAGCGGTTTCCAATATAGGTCATAATTTATGCGAAAATGATAAGCAAACTTTACTCTATTACATCTAATAAACTATGAGATTTATCCCTTTATTTTGGGGATCTTTATAACAGATGGGTCCCTACAGGTCAGCAAAAAGATTTAGCGCCTTGTAAATGCGCGCGATTTCGAGCAATGCAAACATATACAAACTATAGTTTTCGCTATTTGTTGACATTTTTCAGCGTTTAACAGTCCTTCTCACGAAAAAAGCATTTTCTTACAAATTCGCAGTTTTTTTCCTTCAAATTTTTTCAGGGCCACAATTAATTAACTAACTACCCGGATTCTGAATTTCATGATCATTGAAAAACTGTGACATTATCTTCTATAAGCCCAAACTTGAGTAAACATTTAAGATTTTTAGCGTTTAGGCTGAGTTTGTGCTTTGGGAGTTTTCTATTGTTTCTAGTCTGTCATGATACAGCATTCTTGTTCAGCACACGTGCAATGACCGCACTTGGCTGACTATACGGCCTCGACGGATAACACCCTCCTCGATCTCCATAATTCTTCATATAATACGAAAGCCGAACTCAACAACTGTTTTATTATTCTTTCAAAATAATTCCTAGTTTAAAAAACAGAGCTAAAACGTGCTTACTTCCATCGATCCATCGATCAGTTCAGTTCATCTTCGATAGTCAAATTTCTTCCAAATTTGGTCATCAGTAACTGGTTATGGTGAATTAAACGTGTGCTTTTAGCCAACCAGAATCGGGGAAATATTTTGAATGAATAATAATATAGATTATTGCTTTCTTGCACCCTCGATCTCAGAGGAAATAGGTTGAGGTCGGAATTTTTTAATTGACGATCAATTCTTTACGGAACAACAGGGCGCGATAATGTATGTGTTCTTGAATACTGACCTTACAATAAACTTTACCACCAGTTATTTTATTTACCTACCCATTTATTTATTCATCTACATTTTTATTATCAACAGGGCCGTAGATGTTAACCACATTTTACAGCCCAGTAGCTTGCATCACATCCTTTATCTCAGGCTGCCGAATGAAAAATGATCTAAACATGGCACCAACGTAGCTTGATAAGTGTGATATAGTCGTACTACCACATATGCTTACGGCCACAATGACAAAGTAGACACTTTTTAAATTATTAGTTTTCTCACTAGGTCGGATTCTAAATTATTTTTAAAGTAAATGCCCGCAATATTCTGCTATTTCCTCTACTTTGCATCCCTCGAAACAACATTCTTCAGTGTAGGTCGTTCTTTGTGCTTCAGCAAGGTCGGATTCTCTTCTTGCTAATTTATTGAGAAAGCCATTGGCTTCTATTTTTGATTTTACCAAGTCTGAAAACAAACAAACCAGCATTGTGAATTGATGATAGATTGAGTACAAATGGGTGGCAAGGGCATAAATGAATTTAGAATTGCTGTTGTTTCTAGACAGCAGCCAACCACGCCCAACTCCCCTCCCCATCCCCCCCATCCCCCCATCCCCCCCCCCCCATCGGCCACTGCTGCCTTCCTCTTTTCCGGGAGAAGGCCAGATTAGACGGCAGTGCCACATTCAAATTACACAACAAGGCCTATTACGAGCAGAAAGTGATGTTGGCTACATACATGCGACGCATGCGTAAAACAACCTGGAGATTATCTGCGGGCTCCTCTTGTCGACCGCAATTAAACCACATTTCTACAGGCTTATGGCAGACCGAAGTTACGATTTAGAAACTTATTTCATACCTTCCCTTCTTATACTGCGTTTACCAACGTGAAACGAGCAATGGTTTTCCAAAAGCTTGTGAAACTCGTAAGGCCCCCAGCAATGTTTGATGTCATATTGTTTACCAGCAGAGAAGTTTACTTGTACAAAGCCGACTACAATGTACATCAGAAGAAGAAATTTGACACAGCCGTTCATCGTGCTAGAAAAGAAGATAAAAGCATAGAATTATAAGAGTTGCAGTTCAAATCAGTGAAATTTACCTGTTTCAGTGTCTTCACGGTACATGCTTTCGGTCAGCTGGTTTGTAGCTTCAGCGCGATGAGCGAGGAGAAACGTCTGCCGTTCGCAGGCTAGTTGGTTTGTTGTCTGGTTTTTGTTTGAAGCCGGTGGGATGGCTTCCACCTTTTTATCATAAGGTTGAACCGAGAGAAAATTCTTTTTCACATCGCCGGAGGGTCGGAGGCATTACGATTTTTGTTCTTTCTCGATCGAATGCCCGGGGGGGGGGGTACTTTAGGAAGTTCTGGGTGGGGATGTGCCGCTGGGAGCATGGAACCCTTAACCTTTACCAGAGCTAGTTCAGCTGAATTTTGCTACCCTATACTAGAGTAAACTCCCCAAATCCCCCTATCCTAGAGTAGCTGTGTACCTAGTCTAGATAAAATCTTCAACCAACTGATCAGTTTACTGAAAAATGATACCCTATTCTGGACCCAAACGCTCTGATTTATACACTCTATCCTAGAGTAAACTGCTTGAAGACCATACCCTTCACAGCGGCACATACCTATATAGCCCATATATGGCAGTACCCCCCCACCCCCGGTATCGAATGTCAGTGTAATGGAGGCTGCGCCATGCGTTTTTGAACGATGCAATTAGTTTCCAAATACCAAGAGGAACTCGTGCAATTGATGCTATTAAATATTGGCCAGGGACAGCATCGGAGAATCAGTAAACGTCAACTCACTGCTAAATTTAGTGCTTAGGAGAACGTTGGCTGCTAGGTCAAGAATTACAAGTAACCTTATAAAGCAACCAGTATTTATAGGCCTCCCTCATAATTTGACTTTGATTTTATGTGCGGAAATCAACACCCTTTTAAAGTGATCAACTTTTATTTATCAGTAAAACGTTCAATGGGCTGTCCGGGTAGTTTTGCATCAAAATTCAAACAACGACAAGCCGTTTTCATTGTTATTTTCTTTACGTTCAAGATTTGTGACACTGGTCAATAAAATGGATTTACTCAAGTTTGCCGCACAGTGAGTAAATGTATTAAGGCACGTTTATCTCTTAATAACAACGCATAACAGTTTGCTTTTTTTGTATATGCGGCGTCTGAATCAATTTGGTACGGCAGTTTTAGTTTGGTGTGGCAAAAGCGTTAAGTTCGACAGAGTCTGTCGAACTTTTGTCGAACTTAACTTAGGTTCGACACACGGTACGCCGTCTGAATCAGATGTCGCGCCAGTGTCGCTCCAAAGTCGAACTTATTCAGTTAGGTTCGGCACATGAAAAGTACGGCGTCTGAACCAGGCCTCAGTTCTCAGTCAAGCAGTTACTGAGTAGCCCATTTTTTTCAAATTTCAGTTTCAGAATGCGGCATGCAACTCTTATTAAAACAGTTATTAAGTTCTCTTAACTTCAGACAAAAGGTGCTCATACAAATGAAAAACCGGCGACTATTGGTCCGTATGAATTTTAAAAGAAATGCGTGGGAACTTTGTATCAGCAGCTATCGATGAATATTCACTTTGAGGCCGTCTCATTGCGTTGGAAGACCTTCGGAAATCGCTGAAATTCGAAGTTTCCACTGGAAAAAGAACAGCCGTAATAAGTAATAAAGGATAGGCCAATAAATAAAGCTGAAAATTCATCGCAGGGATTCTTGGCAACTTATTGAGTATTCCTACACATTTCTTACAAATTTCGGCAGAATGAGCCAAACGGTCTTAAAGTCCCTGGGTTCTCTGTGCTTCAGCTAAACTGCCGCTCAAAATCGTTCCTCTAAATAAGGTCCACTGCGAATTTGATACATTGGGGAAAAAAACTACAATTTGCCTTCAATACAGTGCAATATAGAAACAACTTGGCTTATAGATGGGAGGAGACAATCTGAGTGACTTTACTTTACGCCAGATGCCCAAGTACTATAGCAAAAAAAAAATAAGTCGGCTTGTTTTTGGGATAGATTTCCTCTCCGTTTAAGGTGATGTTACACGGGACGATTTGTAACGACGATTTTTAACGCAACACAGCATTACAACATTGTTGCAACATTGTTTCGAATGGTTGCAACATTGTTCAAAACAGCAACGTTGTGTTGCGATGAAAATCGTCGTTGCAAATCGTCTCTGTGTAACATCACCTTAATAGACCCAGGACACGCGCTTCAATCGCTTTTCCGCGCAACAGAGAACTCATCCAAGGGGGATAAGCAGGTTTATAACCGGGCTTCGCTTATCGGTCCAACTTCTATCGCAAAAAGAGAGGCGGAGGCTTGTATACGAAAGGCGGAAATCGATAGTACGATCCAGAGTGCAAGCAAAGAAAATGTATTTTAACACTGTGTGACTTCGTGAGTGGAGTTTATACTCAAAACTTCCAGCTGATCATACTTTAAAACATTTTTAACCTCTGAAATTGCATTTCCTTTTATCATACAGTGCTTTTAATTCAGTATTCTCTGAATTGAAGGATTAGAAGGATCTGTACAAATACAAACCAAATAACTTTGGTGAATGATATGTTAAAAGTTTTCTTTTTGAAATTCAGTGTTATCTCTAGATTCTTCCCTTCAGTTGTTTAATAAATTATCCGTTTTCAGCATATGACAATCAAACCCACCGACGAGTTGGAATTCCCAGCAGAAATGTGGCGTCAGTTCCGGCTAACTGCAGCTATTAAAATCACTAATTTCTCATTCAAACCACTTTATTTCCTGACTCTCAATTGTGCCCTTTTGTCATTTTGCCTTATTTTATTTTTCAACATGTACACGTAGTTAATAAAACAAAATTAAAAATTGTCTACGAACGCAATTAGAATGATTTTGTTATGTTGCTTCAAAGACTCGAGAAACACTCATAAGCACGTTAAATTTAGAATTGAAATACTTAAAAAGGCACCCTGCTAATTTTACATGTTATGGCAGTTTAAGCATAATTTTACCAAGGGCGACTACGTAAGAGTTGCGACTACCCTTTGATTTTTGCTTCGTATCGTGAGTTCAAGCGGCGCACATAAGTCAAGAGGCGGGAATCTGTTTTTACTCGAGCAAATTTGCGACAAAAGAGTCAACAAGGTTTTACCACCAAACGGTCAGTGATCAACAAGTTCTTGTAACGAAAAAAATAAATATCATTCATGATGCCAGCGATTTTCATCATCAATGGACTTGCCTAAGTGAAATGTAAACAATTTATCTGAAACCGCGAAATCGTTTCACCAGTTTCTCATGCAACAATGAATGCTAACAGCTATGGCGTCAATACCAGCTTGGTGGTGCGAGACTAATTCTCGAGATAATGCATCAAACGAGCGTGCTGAACAAGTAAAATAATCTTTAAAACATTAGAGATATGCTTTAAAAGTGTTTTGCTTTTTAAAGTTCATTTCACCAGATACAATACTGCATGGATGTTTACAGCTACCATCCTGAGTTTATCGGACTTTATTTCGTGAAAGACTTTGAACTCAAGGTACAACAATAAAATTGAAAAAACTGGCTCTATTAACAGAACACTCTTTTGTGGGAAAAAAAGAAATCTGTGGCACCTTTTGTTTTGAAACAATTATAGTCAAGGGTTTTTTCAGTTCGGTGCCTTTTCAGTTTTTCTTGGAGCTTTTGTTCTAGCGCTATGACTCAGCCGAGTATAAAACACTGCGAGTTTTAAGACAAGTTTTAAAATCCTTTTAAGGAGTTTGCATGCATAAACAGATGAATCAAACAACGTTGTGACACTTCTTAGACGGCTAAATAACATGCGTCCGTTCATAAAACTGAATCATAATTCACATCCTAAATTTTCCAGCGTGTTTAAATGATCGTTCGGTTTTTATCTATCGGTTAGTTAGGCTGCCCCAACCGAATACGCACAAATTAAACCAGTGGTATTTCACATGTACTTGCCAAAACTTTGGCTAAATTAGGCACGCGCTCACTTACTTCAGCAGATACATATACAAAAACGAAAACGGCTGTCAATCTACCCCATATGGAAACTAATCTTACCGAGCAAAAAAAAAAAAATGATAATAATCAAATCATGTTCCAACATACGAAAGCCCGGCGTAAGACGTTGTGAAGATGATGGCTGTATCTGACAGGATTTTTTATAGCCCAAGACAACAAGAATGCGATAGAATGTTACATTATAAAGTATTCCTCACCTGTTGAATGGAATGATATTTTTTCTAGCTGTAAACAAATATAGAAATCAGCGGCGCAAGGCAGTTTTTTCGCTAACGGCTTTTAAATTTTCCAGAAGATTAGACAATTTACCGTACTAACGAATTCAAAATTGGCTTTATAACGTGCACTCGTTGCCATGGTGATTAAAAGATGGAATTTCTAAAATAGACTCAGCTGATAAACTAAAAGATCATATTAATATCCAAGGACTGTTTGCAAATGACACCGGATTTTGCAAGATAGACTATTGTCAACAAAGATGTATTGTATTTTTTCATAAAATGAATTTTAATTCGTTGAATCATCGCATAGTTCCGTCGTTAAGAAGTGTTCATATTGTGTTCGGCGTAAAGTGCGGAATGTCTTTTATACCTGTTATATTCTGGGGGATGCTAAACTTATATTAAAGAGGAGCATTAAATATATTAGAAAGAAGTGCGTTATTAAAACAACATCGCTAATGAATAGGTGTGTGTACGTAAAATTTGACAACAAAAGGCCAGCTTAAGAATCGAGATAATTCAATGTCTTTGCGTTTCCTTGGCCAAATATTCAGACACCTTTCACAATGTGCTCAACTTTTTTTTTCTTTTTTCATTATCTGATATTAATTTTACTCCATCTAAGCTTGAAATATTGGCTATAGAAGGATTTATTTTCAGTCCAGCGAGCTTACACTTACGTATCCTGTCAAAGGTGCTTACCGGTATATTCATGCATTCTAATACAGCATGAATAGCTTGGTTTTCGAATATAATCTGCGTTGATTATTTCTCAGTTACAAATGCCAGACCAACCTTATAACACAGAGCCGAATTAAACTACTTTCAATTATTTGGAGTGGGTTTTAAATGAAATTTATAACAAAAAATGAACTAAATAATCTGAATGGCGAGAAGAAGTTAAGAATAATTGTTTTGATTCTTTGTGGTCATATTATTTGAATTAATTCATTTGTGATCCCCAAGCAGACAGAATCTAGATTTGACAGAAACGAGAGTATTTCTAAGAATATACCACTTATCCGCTTTTATCTCAGAATTGTGTCGGCCTAGAAGTTATTACTGATTCCTTCTAGAATGTAATCGAAAAGGTTTCGATTTGAAAACAGTTTATGTTCAAGTGAAGACCTCTTCGTTTTTTATTTTTGTATCAGAACGATTGGATATACACGGACTTAACAATTATTTTTTTCCACAGTGTATCAAACAATACATCATTTTTGCTGTCAATATGTATGTTACGAAGTGAAATAGTGAGAGTTTTGCTCCTATCGATGCTTGAGACCTGTCCTAATGTCCCTAGTTGCGCATGCGTCAGGTGAAATGCTGAGATATTCCGTCTTTATGATTTAATCAGTTGGCAATAACGAAAATCGCCATTTATTACCCTTCATTTCCTTTCAGTGTTAAGTAGTGGTGAAAAAATCGTCTAATCCAATTGACCTATCCCTCGGACTTTCATCTCAATTCAGCTTCAGATTTTGGTCAGCCGACTAAAAAATAATATTATTTCGTCTTTCGCGGCAAAGCTAGGATCCAAGTCTCTCTGCTAATCTCTCTTTGCTGCCGCTGGGACCCTGGAACCCTTAACCTTTTTAGCTGAAAATACAGTGAAACCTGTCCCCCAATTAGTTTCCCCAGTCGGATAAAACAACCAACTGATCAGTTTCCTGAAAAATGATTTAAGACCCAAATGGACTGATTTATATACCCTATCCTAGAGTAAACTGCTTGAAAAATTTCACAGCGGCATTTACCCATATATTTACTTTAAGTACAGTGAAACCTGTATTAAGCGGACACCCTCTATTAAGCGGACAGTACCCGAAGTTCCAAAATTTATTTCTCTTATTTACTTTAAATGAAACCTTTATTAAGCGGACGCGGACACCTAAAAAGTACCTGAAATGATAATTTCTATCCTTACCAACATGTATTAAACGGACACTTGTAATCAAATTCCACCACTCAAAATGCCAGCCACCGGAAATGCGAAAGATTGCCCCAAATTGCAACCCACAACTTTTTCGATTTTTACATTAAAAAACGTGACTTGTCGAACTTATTTGATTAGTTTCACAGTAGTATTGTTTTTTATTTCGTTTTGTTTGTATAGAGCTTGTTTCACTCATCTGATTTCTTCAAATCTGGGTTGCAATCTATGTTTATGGTACTATGATCAATAAAATAAAGAAAGCTAATGCAAACGTACATCGAAAAGTCTCTGAGAGTATTCTTAACATTTGCACTTCATTTGAATGGCATTTGACACCTCATATGATCATGACGTTATCTATCACAACCTGTATTAGGCGGACACCCTGTATTAAGCGGACACTACAGCATTCCCCGAGGGTGTCCGCTTAAAACAGCTTTCACTGTAGTTTAGTTTGGTCAAACCTTATTAGCCCCTGCCACTCGGCCAGCAAGCCGTACTAAGGCAGTATCATGAGAACTTTCCCAATTTTACTTTGAAGATTCACTCGATGATGCACAGAATGGCCTCTCAAGAGAAAGAGAGAGAAACATAAAATCTTCCAAAACTGTTAGCAAAGTATTGGGCGATTATTTCCTACATCACTTTCAAACTTTAAAACACTGGCGTCGTTTTAAAGTTTATTAGTCTTTTATTCCACGTCTTTCTTATACCTGCTTTATCACGGACTTACAGTGTTTTTTGTGAACTAATGTAGCATGAAAAGGAACGGCTGTAACAAGATCAGGCAGAGGGATTTAAATGATACAACGCTTGGCCTTCTCAGTGTTGGTCAGCAATGGCCTGCGGTTTTTCAAGACATAGAGCCAAGACCAATTATTATTGTAATCAGTTCACTTTTATTGAAGAATTAAACATGTTTTTACATGTGTTTCCTTTTCCAAAGTCTTGTAAAAATCTTTTTTCGTCTATTGATCACAGTTTTGTTCTTCTCTTCATGATTACTTACTAACAAGGATATGGAATTCCTTCTTCGTAATATAAATTACAATATTCTGTTTAATATAAATCACAACATTGAACCAAATGGGAATGCAATATTCACTGATTCGTTTGTCTGCTCTTCAAACTAATGTACCAAATTGTTTGTAGCGTCATTATTAATTATTCATTTATTTACCGTATTTCCTCGAATAATAGCTGTCCCTCGATTAATCGCCTCCCTCGAATAATCGCCCCCCCCCCCCCCCTTGACGGAAATGTTTAAAATAATCTTCTTTCTCGAATAATCGCTCCCCCGCCTCCCACCACAGTACGTAACTCACTATCGATACCCTGGAGTCTGGTCCAGCAAACTGACTGATCAGTGACGTCGCCGAGGATATTGACAATGAAAATTAATCAAGGAACCAAATTTGGAACACTTAAATAGCCTATGTTGAGTTTCTTTGGTGTGATTATTTTCTGATTTAATGGAAAAATAGAACAAAGTATTTAGGGCACGACTTCCAGTGAACAATATCTGAAAATAATCGCCTTCCCTCGAACAATCGCCCCCTTTTGGCGCCAAAAAAGAAATAATCGCCCCCGGCTATTATTCGAGGAAATACGGTATTTGCTTATATTTTTTTGTTTGTTTTTAATTTATTTATATGAAACTACACAATGCTCCCAGACTTCTTCTTTTCGACATCCCTCTATGCAGCATTCTTCATAAAACAATGGATAATTTGTAACATATGTGATGGTAGATTTTCGAAGAAAACTTCGTGCCTTTTCTGGAGGTTGTAAAAAATTCTGATCTGCACAAAAACAGAGTAAAGAGGCCATAAGCGAGTAAATTGAATATGTAATTTTCATTTCATTCTTAACTCACCGTACGCGTAAAAAAAACCTACCAGTTAAAATTCTTTTCCTCCTCTTTCGGCAATTGTGATTTAAAAAATATTCAACATATGATCGAGATTTGCAAATTTTATATTCATATTCTGTTCCTTCGTTTGGTTTGATTTTCTGATCACCAGCGACGAGCGGCCTCTCAGTGCAAAAAAGAATTACTACTGTCGCTAGTGACATGATGAAGGTGGTAGACAGACACATTGACTTCCTGAAAAATGCAACAAGACGAAGACAAGTTTAGTGACGTGAAACGGCTTTCCTCTAATTTCCACTGGTCAGTTGCCTTTTTGCGTAACACCTAACGGCATGCGCAACGATTTCTTGCAAACAAAAGTGAGCGAGATACCGTTCACGCATCCGTTGATCACGAAGCCTCCAAATAATCTTGAATGAGAAAATTCGGCGAGACGAGCCGTCTTTATAATTGCTAAAAGCAACATTTCTAAGCAACGAAACAGCAAGTGGTTTGAATATATATAATTATAGTGACGTAGAACTCAAGTGGAATTCTACTGTGAAAATCCGCACCGCAGTTTCGACTGAGTGTAATAATAAAATTGGTTGGACAAATTTTCCTGCCTTTGAAGTGAAAATACTGATTGGAAACAAAAGTCAAACTCTGAAAAACAGAATATTTTTTCCATGTAGCGGAACAAAATGTTGACCAAAACGATAGTTATATGGATGAGTTTCTAATCATGAGTTGCATCGTGGCCTTTCAACTGAATTCCATGAACTGAATTATATTGAATGAAAAGACTGAACAATAACAGAAGCATTGTTAAACAAACGTCAGTTAGATGACAAAGTTTCATTTTTGGCTTAAGAGCTTTTGTGGAACTTCTTTAATTACACACAAAAAGTCGAGAGCGACTCAGGCAAAAAGACCATAATTTTAGTGTCCATTACGTTTGGACGGAAAGTAGCAGAGCTTTTATCCTAAATTGTAATGAAAATAAAGATGATCAAATAGAGAGAAGACTACTGAGGACTACAAAGGATCTAAGTAGCGTGGTGAATTAAGGTTAAGATCAAGACAAAACGAAACTTTACAACTTACATGATCAGTGTATGGCGAGTAAGTCTTACTGAAATTTTAAGCTTCAAAACTTCCAATAAACAAACAGAAAGAAATAGCTTTACGTCTAGGAGTTGGTGTGACGGCCGTGGGTCGCACAAAACCAGGAGCTTCAAAAGTGACAACGGTATTGTTTAGCTGTCGTGGTCAGATAACAGCGCGTATTTAGATGATAACACCCTAATTGGTTGCCTTGTGCACCTGTTTTTTAAACACGTGGAGCAAAATTAGCTGCAAAGATCTTAAATGATCATCACTTTTACAAAATGAACGTGGTGATCAAGTTTAAAAATAAAAGGATATAAAATGGTTGTGTTAGTGACAAGTATAATTATTTAGCCGAAAAAAAAAACTAGGCTATCTGATTGTAGTTTTTAGATTTCAGAAAGCCATAAAATAAATTGATTCCGATAAATAAATGAATTGTGATGTTTCCTTTCTACATGCGTGGGTTTTCATATCTGTTTCGATAAATCAAATGCGTCAATCTTAAACTGAAATGTGATCAGTTTAAAATAGTGTCTTAAAGAAAAGTAAAAATTTTTTTCCTAAACTGTTGTTTTAAAGAGTTCTTTGTTTAAGTCAGTAAAATTTGAATTTTTGCCTATATGTAATTTCATTTACTTCTTAAGGAAAGAAGTATTGATCGAGAAAAATTTAAGCAATAAACGGGTAGTGATGTTGCTGAATTTTGTTGTCTGTGTCTCAGGCCATTTCTTTGGTCCTTCGATTACTAAAGCCGCACCCGCAGGAAACTTTTTGACCGATTTTGCTCGAATAAGAATTTGATTTGTTTTTCTGCATGGCAAGCTTAAGACGCTTCATTTCTAGATATTAGCATATGAAAACGTTTAGGGATCGATGGTTTTTAACCTACTTAATCATCCAGTCTTCAGGATAATGACAGTTTTGCGTTTCGTTGACCATTAATTTTAATTAATTGACCCAAAAAAACCTGTAAGCCTTAACGTTATTTCCGCACCTTTTCCCACAGCCAAAAAATAATCTTTAGAATCATGATAGAATACAGTTTGTTATCGAGAGTCTATTTTTAAACCCTCAGGCTAAAAATACAACTTTAACAAAAAGGTCAATTTTTACCTACTAGAAATATGTCTACTGACGGAGATCGGTAATTCTGATTAGAATTCTCATCTGATTATTATTCTGAAAGGCTTGTGGCATGCGTAACTAGTACATAACAATCTCAATTATAAAGAATATTTTGCGATGGGGTGATTATCAAGAGGGATATAGGAAGCCGTAAGAGAAGTTAACGACAAAGTTGTTAGAATTAGCAAGGCCTTTTGTAAAACAATGAGTATCCGAGCTGTGTTACAACGCCAATTAGCTTGCATGATCAACGATGATATGATTCCTTCTCTAATGAAAGAGGTTTCAAAACGTGCCATATCATGCCAATTACGCTTTCTTAACTCTCACAGCTGCTACTAAAGACAAAGAATAAAGCGTCTAAGTGACTAAAGGACACAGTCATAATTATCATAATCATTATAATTAACAGTAGTGCATTGCATAATTAAGCCACAGAACGTGTTCTTTTTCTTCAACCGTTCACCTCTTTACTGTGTTAATATAATCGCAAAATTGTAGCGTCCAAAATAAATACAAGAACAACGACTAAATTTACTAATTACCTTTTGACCGAATCAATAAAACATACACTTAGTTTTCCTGCAACTATTAAGACCGCGTAAACTAGATCAAAATGTCTGTTCCTTAATAAATCCTTGCTTTTTGCTCTGCTACTTTGTATTTAGTTTGGTTTGTCGACAACAGCTATCACCTTGCAAACGTTTCTTATTCCGCTCAGTAGATTGGAAGAGTATTTGTCATAGTTCAATTTTTAACCTGTTTCTCAAACTCATAGCAATTCATAAAGAAAATACAAAGAAAATTAATGTTTAATGAGTGTTTGGAAATCAGATGAAAAACTGCTCATTTTTGCATCTTTAATTTCTCTGTATAAACTCATTTTGTTTGAGAAGTAATATCAAGCATTCGACGCAGTGTTTCCTCACGAGATGAAACACCTCGAAGTTTGTCAAAAATACTCCGATGCGCGTCGTATTTTCAACTCTCTTCTCAGTCGTTCATCTGGTGATGGAACACGCGTCAGCATGCTTGATATATAACTTCAAATTTTTCCTTGTTTCAAACTCATTGTTTTAATTACCATACCCCAAAATGAAAAACAAAAAATTGTGCACCAGTGTTGGCCATTTCTTTCTTTGTGACAAAACAAGCCATAGGCCAATCCAAGGCTCCATCAGTCCACATCTCATGCAAGTCAAACAATTTACTGCTTTCCACATATTTTTTTCTTAGTAAGGCCCGGTTCAAACGTTGAATTTCAGATTTGCCGAATTTAATGCTAATGAGGAAAATCTATTGTTCTTACCATTTTAAATTAGGATCAGCACATAGTGAAACAGTTTAACTGAGCCTAGTTAAAAATACCAAGCGAATTTATTGAGGTTATAACCCATCACATGTGTTTGACAGTGGACGTTAATTTGATCCAGAAACGCCAATGTATGATTTTTCATCAAGGAAAAGCAAAGTATTTGCATTACTATTGCTATTAGGAAAACTACACCAAGTCTTGCTGCAGATGGGAAGCCTTTTTAACTAACCGCGTAGTCAAGCTCTCCTGTCCAGTCCCCCGATGCCTAGAAGGATCGTCATGGCACGCTTCACGCTTCACGCTTCACGCTTCACGCGAACGATAACCAATCTCTTCCTTCCCAGACACACAAGAGCCGTTGTTGGAGCGCGGTCAAACGAAATATTTTTGCAAAAGGCAGGCTGCAAAAGTACTTCAAATAAAGCTAAGGTTGTCATTTTGCTTCGGCTCAAAGTATAATATATTACCATTCCATGTGCTAAACTGTCGTTAATTACCTTTTAGAAAATTAACAAGAATAAATTTGTGTCAGAAAAGACAAATAGCCGAGTGATGTCGGCGCCATTTGAAGAGACAGGACGCGAGAAACGTTTAATCAGTGAAAAAAACAACCCCCATTATTAAAAAAAGAAAATGAAAAGATGGCTGCAGGTGATGATTCCCTAGTAAAAGAGACTGACCTATATTTCGATGAAACTTTACTAGCACCCTGTAATTGTAACAAGTCAAGAAGAATACACACTCTTAAAATATTGGCGAGAAAAACTTTTTAACATCTTTCTGGATAAATGAAGCTTTGTTTCAAGGGCGCCATTTTTCTTGTTACAGCTTTATAAATGTGCACAGTGAGATATGTGGTAAAAAGAATTAAATTAACTGCAAAAACCAGGGACGAAGATCCTGCTAGTTGTAAAAGTTGGATCTCTAGAAAAGAGATCAAATCAGCCAAAATATGAAGAACCAAAAACGATAAGTGCAAAGCTGATTCAGAACGACGTGTATTGTTTTTTCATAACAATACTGTATTTCGGCTGGCCATACCATCCTTCTTCAGGTTTACAGATGTTACTGAACTTATTTAGGAATCACAATATTATATAGATGGAGAATGTCGGAATAAAAATTGTTTAAAAGGGAGAGGCGGAAATGACGTACATCGCAAAAACTGGAAAGGAAAAATATTAAGGATATGGACTACAATAATTCGTCACGGCGGTTTAAGCCATGAGGTTCAAGAGTCATAGCCTTATCTATCAAATGCGACTCGCTGGCCTTACGAACTGAGTCACGTGAAGAATGAATTTTCTCTAGTGGGATTAACTGCATGTCAGTATGAGAATGGTTAGAACGAGAGAGAAAGTGTTCAGAAACAGTGCAGGAGTACAGACGTAGCCCTAATCTTCGTGACCTTTTAGTTAAAGCACAATTGCCCGTGTCTCAAACAATCATTTTCCGCCAGACTTCTTCCGCTGTGGACGAAATTGTGCCACTTGTCCATACATTACTAACGGCCTCACAAGTTATACCTTTTACGCTACAGGTGAAACACGCTCCATCACTTCACACATTACTTGTAACACTAAAAACGTGATCTACATGGTTCAATGTCACCTTTGTAATTTACAATATTTAGGTGAAACTAAGCGACGTCTCAAGGACAGATTTAACGAACACAGGCGTGCAGTTGACAAAACTAACATTAAATCTAAACCCACTGCTGTTTCACCCCAGGCTCCGAGAAAGCTTCCGGTTTCAGGTGAGCAGTGTTCAACTCGTTAGGATGAAGGTTTACAAAAATCATCCATGTGCGCGTGCGCGGGTTTTTAAATGGATGGCTTCATCATTCTCGTTATAAAATAATTATAGCCTTACCAGCTTGCCCACACGATTGCTTGAAAAGGAACTGTTAGCAGGTCTATGGAATTTCCCCAGCTGTTTATTCAGATAACCAGTAATTGGTCAGTTCAAGTTCTCTCAAAAAAGATAGTTGGGATCTTACGATCCAACAACGGCGACATCCTTGAAAACGTCGCTGAAAAATAGACTTCGCATCATTATAAACTTTTTCGAGATTATTCTAATTCGCCTTGTTACTTAAAAGAAGGGAATTTTGGCTGGAGCTCAAGAGAGATAGCCTGGGAGAGTATCCGTTTTTTTCGGCTATAGTTTCAATCGCCGAGAAAAGCGACGACCGGAAATACGTCCGCGGTTCGCAGGCTACAAGAGAGGGGACCGCGCTCGAGTTCTGACAGAGATGGTAGAATTTATCGTCTTGCCTTTCTTGTTCTCAAGTACACTAAAAATTTGCGCAGGAACAGCAAAGAAATGTACAAAAAAGCGTGCTGCACGTGCAGAGTTGTTGTTTTGCTCATTAAACCTATTGATATTGCTTTTGTGACGTTGTCCTTGCCGTCACCATCGTAGTTCCGTAAGGTCCATAGTTACCACGAACGAGGCCACTCGAACAAACTTTTTGTGTTTAAAGATATGTACAGCCCATTATCAGTTTTATTGAGGCTTTCAAGAATCATTAATTTGAATCACTATTCCCCGTCAACATTCTTTAAAAAGGAATCAATATCATCCCTGCAAAGAATTTTTTTTATCGAAGGAAAGACATTCATAATCCACTTACAGCAGATTCGGACCCTGGGAGGTCGTTATTGACCAGGCTCGAGACTTATAGATACAACCAAGCCGCTAGAATTTTTATTTCATACTTTCATAATTAATAATACAACATATCCCAATGAGTACTCAGTTTTGAGTTAAATAATTGCCATCTTGTATTTCCTTCCCGATACCGTTTCTCTTTCTTTTTGTTTCAGTATCTTCGTTTTTCTTACATTACTATTTTCTTCAAGTTCTACACAAGTTCTGGATTAATAACAATTTTGGGTGGGCTTTCAGACTGGTGAATTTTTATTTGGAATAGATCAAAAGTGATATGAATCTTGCGAAACATACCTTTTGGAAACGGATGATAAGGCCCTCAGCAATTGTACTGAGTAAGCTACCGATTTTGATATGAGGGAAAGAAGGCAGAGAGGCTTTTTGTTAGAGGTCTAACTTACAGATATCATGGTCAGCGACAAAGAAAAAATTCAAGTTTGGGACAATATTCCGAGCCAGAGCCGGCAGAAAAGAGTGAGCCAGTTATCGCTTATTTTAGTTTTGACCTGGAGTTGCACTTCTAAGTCTGATAGACAGACGTCTCTGGTACACGAATCTCATGTGTTTTTTTTCCGATTCCTTGCTAGCTCCTCTAGTTCTTTTCATTTGCATTTTTTACGTGGCTAAAACGAGAAAAAAATGACCGAGACAGAACTGTTTGACAGAAAAGATCCAAACAGGCGTATGAGTCCTTGTTTACATTGTTATTATCTTCTATTCCATCTTAAATACCAGGTTTGTCTATTTTGATATCCGTTCGAGTGATATCTGTTTTATTAAGTGCGATTAAGACGCGATTATCCTACAGGATAGAGCTAACCGCCGGTTCCTTTATATGACTTCTAATGGTATAAAATTTTCCCGCTTCTGATCACTGTGCAGTGGGCAAGACATGTAGTAAAAACAAGAAAGTGACGGTTGTGCTCGCCTGGGAGATGAAGTATTTTTGCTATCAGCGATGACTCGAACGATGACGGTTTCTTCTTACATCAAGATCATATACACAGTGAAGTCAGCGCATTGTATATTGGAGCCAAAAAGGACCTTGTTTAGCCAATTACACTTAAGAATTGCTTTCTTTTGGCTTCATGGCTAATTCATTGTGACTGAAACACGTTCTTCATCGATACAAAAAGCATCATCTGGAAAAATCCTTTAGATAAAGTTAATAAACGGTTTGCACTTACTTGCAGATTGTGTAGCAGGATCTCTTGATTTTTCTAAGGAGTTTTTTTAGCTGTCCCAACCGTTAACTTGCTTTGAACGATTTTCTGGAAATAACTCCGAGTTCGGCTAAGACGACCTCTCAAGAACACCCCTTAGTTGACTAAAAAAGGGCTGCTTTTTATAGCGTGTTTTATAAAGCCCATGGAGAGTTTCCTCATTGGGCGGAAAGGATATCACATTATTGACATATTTGAAGGAAAATGTTATCAACAGCGGGTTGTTCTTCGGCAAATTGCAAAAAAGAGGTCCTCTCTTAACCTGAAGGCTTTCTAACATCATATTTGTTTGTTGCTTTGATCTCAAGTGTCGATCAATACGCTTTGTAACAAACAAATGCATAGTGAGTTTAAAACTATTACCAGTCACACAGCAAATAGAGACTTTTTTGCACCAGAGCGCGACTTATTCAGTTGCTTATTGCCATACTCGTCAGACCAAGGTCACTTAAATTTGTTGACAAGTTGCCACCGAATTCATTGATACTGCCCTTTATGTCCCTTGCAGGGTTAAATTTAGCCCAGAATTTACCAAAGCAAGGAGCAGATCGAGTAAACAAAAAGTGATAACAGAAGCACCAAAAAAATTGCGAGAAATTTATCGGGGAAAAGTTGTCTTATTTAAAGGTAATTTCCCTTTTAGTCACGCATTTTCACATAACTCGTTCGCCTTCGTATGTGCTTTAGAACTGGGGCACCCAACGTCAATTTTCGGAAAATGTCACCTCGGAAGACGATTTGAGATCTAGAATTTTCGAAACATTTGTTGTAAAATTTTTTGCTTGCCTGCCTCTCCTAGGATTTTCGAATATCTAAAAAATGGTATGATTGCCCATTCTAAACGGATTTTTACCCTAAAAAGGTCACCTAGAATTTTTGGGAGCTTTTTTTCTGGCTGAAACTCGGCGAAAAGATAAGTTTAAATTTTGATCCCTAAAATTTTCGGATCGCTAGACTCTCACCTAGGAAATCCCGAAAAGATGAAAAATTTTTAGGGGATAAAAATATGCCTCTATCTACCGTTTAAATACTAAAATATTAATACGTTCAACAATGCTATGTTTAAATGGTTTTGAACTATATTCTCGTTGGGTGCCCCTGTTAGAAGTTGTGGTTACAGCCCAATTATTAGTGATTTGACCAAAACGGGAAGGGTGTAAAACGATCTTTTGTCTGAAAATCGTCTAAGTCTGATATTCAAGTGCCTCTCGTACCCACCAGTATCCTCCTATTCACAAGTTCCCTTCTATTAGTTACGTATAGAACGGGTAATAGGCCCAAAAGGTGTGTCCACGGTCACAGGGTATGGTTTCCAGGGTGTCTTTTTGGAACGGAAGCCTTTAAAAGTGTGCCAGGATTGGGCCAGGTTTTTTTCTTAAACAGGTTCAGGGCTGGGTTTGAAGGCTGGCTGCACACGGCTACCCAAGTTTCCCTCGAGTTCCCCCCCAAAACCCCAACCCCACCCCTACTTCGAGTTTGTTGTGTAGAATTCGCTTGTAGTCACAGGATTACATTCTCATCTCGGGTTTTTAATGTTTAATACCAAAAACCGCTTAACATGCAGGTAGGTATGCGTTAAGCTCGGAGCAGTGCCCACAGAAGCGCAAGAAACATAAATCGTTCACCCTGGATTTAGCGTTGGATTAATGAATCAGCTTAGAGTGTTGATTGTTTACTGAGATTCAAAGATCGATTTTTGTATAATACTGAGAGAATACTAAAAACAAAATGCGGGTTTGGATTTCGCCAAAGAAATTTTTTTTGTACTGTGACTGATCACAAGTGAATCCAGCAGACAAGAGCCTTGAAATTATAAATTTATTTGTTGCCCCCACAGCTTTTTGCAAGTTTCCAACCCAGAGACAAAACCCGTGGAGGTACGTGGAGTCCCGTTGTAAACTGACTTAAAATCAATCTAATATGGAGGCATAATACCTCGATCTGCTTCATGACGACCGCTATGCGCCCCTGGGTAACTGAACCAACAATGTTTCGATCTTCCTGTTGCGCCAGGAATTCCGTTGCGTCATTCTAATTGAGCTGAAAGTCTATAAGAAGTTCTTTGCAATCGTTATCAGGCCGATAGAGATCATGCAATAAAAGCATTCAAACCTTATTAGTTAAAACATAAAGCAAATGTAAAATCACATTCCTTTTTTCCCGTATCCACCAGCGTGGCGCTGCTCTGGTGTCAACTTTTAAAGAGGCTAGTAAAGAATTTAAGAGAATTTTTTAAACAAATAAAAAATCTTTCTCTTTGAAACCAGCACACTTTGCGGGAACACTGTTAATAATTTCGCCCTCCATGTAATCAAGGGACACGATTATGACGCCAAGGCTTCGTTATTTACGTAGAAATGTTTTTGACTCTAACTATGTTATTCTAAGTCATTAGGGACTTCAGACATTTTTTTGATCTGAAGTGAAAATCAACCAATTAAAAGTTATAATTGAGCCGATTGTGACGTCATGATGGCGTAGCTTGTTTTCAGGCGCGACGCAAGGTTCTAATTTAAAAATCTACTAAAGATGGCTGCGGAAAGATTGCGGGAAAAACTGGCGGATTTAAAAGCGCGTTTAGATCTGGCAGAGGCAAGAAGTGAGTCTTTTAAGAACAGCTTAAGTGAAGTGAATGATCGAATCGATAGCGCGGAAGCTACAGCCGCGAATTTGAGAAAGCAAGCTACTATGACCGAGGTAGAAATGAAGAGGATAGCTTCTCGACTTGAAAATGTGGAAGGACAATTGTTGATTACTGGTGAGACTCTAAAAAGGAATGAACAAGCTATGACTAATCTGTCAAAAGAAGAAGATCAAATGATAGCAACGCAAAGCACACTAAACGAAAGACTCGAGAATGTGAAACAAATAGTGACTTTTAATGAAACAAAACTGGACGAGGCCAAGAGGAGGATAAAAGTTGTTGAGTTGCAGAAAAAGATCGCTGAAAAACGCTGCGAAAGACTGGGAGAAATAGAAGGACAAATTAACCTGAAGCTGCTACAAATCAACAAACACATTGATGATCTGCAATCAAGCTCGCAAAATGGAGGACTGAGTGAAGAAGAAGAAATGGAGTTGAAGGAAAGAATTGAAGACCTGAAAAACAGTTACAGGGAATCTGAGGCTAGAGCAGAACTTGCGCATCAAAAGATCGCAGCGCTGAGCTGCAAGCGTAACTCTTTGGAGAAAGAATTGGAGGAGCTGACTCACAAAAAACTCTGGGCACAGGATGAACTCAACAAGGTGTTTGATGAGTTTAGCGTTCCCGCATAAATGGACAAGACTCTTTAAGCCGTGTTATGTTTCCCTTTTGCATATCAGTTATGTCCTTGCGGTCTATAAAAATAGAAGTTTAGCCCAGATCCTAAGGACGTTGAGGAGAATTTTGAGCAAGAAAGACAGCTTATGCGGAGAATGCTCGCAAAGTGAGACTTCACCTTAAACGTAGGCGTCGAACACAGAACACTCTCTAACATAGAATACCATAATTCTTCCGTGCTGTACATAACACTGACTAGCATAACCGGCAGTCGACCATAAGAACGACAAAATCTTACATTAAACGACTGCCTTAAACCAGCTTGTCAAGCTGTTGTTGTTTATGTATTTCTTCGTTTTAGTTGTTTTGAAAGGTGGATTTAGATTAAGATTAATCTCGCCCATAGACTCACTGGTGTTAGTGTGACGTGGGAGACCTGGGTTTCAAGTAGTCAGCAGTGGCGGATCCAGGGGAGGGACCCGGGGGGGCTACCGCCCCTCCCCCCTGCCCCCTTATTTTTAGACCAAACTGAGGCCCGAAGGGCTGAAAAATTTGTTTTGGAGACCGGGCCCCTCCCCCTTATCCAAGAGAGAATGATCTACCTCATTCTCTCTTCCCTTATCTCAGGATCTGAATAACCGGGCCCCCACTTATTTCAAGGTCTGGATCCGGCACTGGTCAGTTTCCCCGGTCAGGGACTCCTGGTCGACCCCGGTTGTTCGAAAGTTGGAAAGCGCTATCCACCGGATAAATTCGCTATCCAGCGGACAAACCAATAGGCCACTTCCGAGTAACAGAAAGCCTCACTTTCAAAATAAGGCCAAGTGCACAACCTTTGTTGTGGAAATGAGTTTTATATGCATGAGAATCAAAAATCATTTTCATACCAAAGGCTGAGCACTGAACCTCGTTTTGATACAGAGGCCCGGGAGAACTCGGAAAAGGCCCATTGCGTTATCCAGTGGGTAGTGCTATCCAACTTTTGAACAGCTGGGGCCTGGTGACTAATAATGGAAATTGTAAATTGTAAAAGTAGGTGGAATATGATTGTCCCGTAGACCTGAATAGGACTGTTGTTGACAGGGCATGACTGACGTTTCGACAACCTGTGCAGTACTGTCATCTTCAGAGTCGGTGATTTGTATCAAGTCAGTCGATGGTGAGTTTCTTATTGTGTAACTATCAAAATCCTTAAATTTGGATTACCCAGAATGCCGCAAACCTAGCATTCTGGGCCAAGTTGTTCAAAGTTGGGTTAAGATAACCCAGGGTTAGTTTGAAATTTGAATTCAGATATGAAAGCGTAAAAAGCAAATTCAGTTTAATTCTTTTTGTCAACAATTTGATGGTTGCCTACTCTAAAAAGAATAGAGAAAATTGTCCGAGAAAATGCTTTTGATCAAAAGAAAAAGAGTCCCGGGTTAAAATTTAACCCTGGGGTAGCGCTAATCGGCCTTCGAACAACTGGGCCCTGGCTGTTTAAAAGGTATCAAAAACTTTCGAGAAACAAGCTCCTGGCTACCCTCCCGCAGAATCCGCAGTACGTGATGGATTATACGTCATGTAGTACCATCACGCTTTGTGTCATACGACGCCTGAGCAGGTACCAGTGGTCAACAAAGATCGGCAGATTCTCAAACGTTATTTCAGAAATAGCATTTGGATTTTGTTGAGTCTTATACTGGAATAGTGTCTCCACAGTGTTCACTAGAATTGGATTAAACTCTTCAATTGAACTCGTTTTCGATAGGATGACTGAATTGCTCCTCACATAAACACGACTTCGGTTTTTTCACCATGGCATTCCAATGAATTGTCATACATGAACCAGTACACCACTGAAATTCATGTTTGTCAATATTATAAACAGACGATTTCTCTTCAGCTGAAAAAGTTAGATCGCTCATTTTTCAACCATCCTGGTTTTAGACTTGTCGCAAGTAAAAACGGCGGGAAAATTTTCCCGCCATTATCTCATTCGTGAAACATGAAGTGATGCGATTTACCTGGAACTTTACCACTCTCTCCTGTCCTGTGATTGGCTGGTGCAAGGAGCGTGAACAATCAGCCCGTGAATCCGACACAAACAAAATAAATGCATCCTATGACGTCATGTTTCTGCTGTCCGCATTCAATATGGTGGAAGTTAATTTCCCGGGTAAGTTTTGAAAATCAAACTTATTATGATCTAGGTTGATTCAAAAACTTGATTTTGTCTCATATAAAGTGTTGATAGAAGGGATTACGTTTCTGATACAGTTTGCCATGCGTTTTCGAATCAGTAGCCTTTTAAAGTGACGCCCACAAAACTGAATATTTCCTATTAAAAGAAAACGGGCGAATAGAAAAGCTGGCCCTTAAGCACATCCTCACGCAGTCTTCCAATGTAGGTATAGAGGTGAAAATTTGTTTTACATGTGATTTAGCTTTATATCTTTGATTAGAATTCGACAACTTTTCTTTCTTGATCGCTGACATCGTTTATAAGAGTGAACCCTCCATAAAGTTCTGCTAAGCCGGGATGAACAGGTGGTAATCACTTAAGGTTTAACTACCGTACCGACTCATTTACAAGTTTCATATTGACTTCCTAATATAATGGTCATTGGGAAACCGATCTCTGCTCGCCCGGCGTCAACCTGTTCATTAACTGCGAAACAGTATTTTTCTCCCGTCCTAGGGCTTAGCTAAACAATATAGTTGTGTTTTCACGTGCTCATGTAAAAACTAAAATAGTTTAATAAATCACGCTAAGATTACAGCCCTTTTTAGTTATGACAAACGAAGCGAATAGTTTGTTGTATGAATGGAACGAAAACATTTGTTCAAGGACGGTAAGGTCTAACAAGAGTTAGGCATCTCTGTATATCTGTTGAAGATATTTTTCATAAATTTTCTTCCGTGTTTCCAGACAAGTGATTAACCTTCGATGAGAGCAATGAAAGAGATGAGGTTTTGGTGTCTTGCATTGTTAGCTTTGTGTCTAACGACTGCAAAGGCAGAAGGTAAGTCATTCTTGTGTAGACAGGCCGAGTATGACCATAGGAAACTTCATATTTGGTCAGTGTTAGCGATAAAGTATACTTGTTTGCCGTGAAATCCCCCCTAAATCATCGGTTCTTCAACTGTTATCCTGACACAAAGAAATATTTTCTTATGTGATGCTGTGGTCCGGTCCCGTCTAATCTTTATTTCAGAGGTAGTCATTTCGCACTAGGACCGACTCTGCCTCTGTGTTTTACCAGAAACTGATAAAACTCTCTCAGGTTTGCAGTAAAGTTACTTGGTACCGGGTGTTCATAAGTAAAGGCGGGGCCGACCTTGTGAGGACCAGCATCGATCCGACGCTAGAGAATAGCAATGTTCGCAACTTGCTTTATTTGGAGGGCACACTGTTTGTGGGTCAGTTCTTGCTTGTGATTCCTTTTATTAAGCTGTCAGTATAATATGATTTTCGCACAGTTCGAGATTGAGTAGTACTGCCCTTCAAGTAGTATTAACTGCTGTAAAAACTCTACAAGGTGGTTATAGCTTTTCATTGCGCTCGAAGATCGATATGTAACTCTTAACAGTATCAGTTCAAACAAAAGGAATGAACTTTACTTTCGTCTCAAAAATCTTCTTGACGTCCTTTTGGTGTTTTCGAGTTCAAGTAGAGACCCAGTCTTGAGTTAATTAAATAGATGTCAACTCGAAAATCGGCATCACTGAAGGATTTTGCTATACAGGCACATTAAATTTTTTCAACGTAAATTATCATGTCTTCATCCTGTCGGTGAATACATTTGTCTCGTTCAGAGTATTGATCTTGTTGTACATCGGCCTTCTGGGATATCAATAAGAAAGGCATGGTACACACTTATTATTGGATGATCTTACTTTGTTTTTAGTCCAATGGCCTGGTGGTACATATGGTTTACCAATGCCTGATACAGGCTGTCCGTCTGACGGTGCAACAGATTGGAAAACAGGCTGGACGTACCACGATACCGAGGACGACAATAATGAGAACCAGCGGTCCAACATATTCCATATGCCTGGCAACTTTTCTGCGCATGGCATTCAGCAAAAGTTTTGCTTAAAAGAAGGCAATAACGAGAACACTGGCAGCGAAATATGGCCGGAGGGGAAATACTGTGTTTACAAAAAAGGTGTGTGGTAGGGAGGGTGAGTAATATTTTTAAGGTGGAAGATGAATTAACGATTTTTTAGGGTCGTATTACCTTTTGTAAAGCTAGTCGAAGCTGTATTCAGTGAAGCTGCATTCATATTCCATTTAATACACCTCACTAGTGGAAGTCCACTAGAAGATCGTTTTTCTCAATTGCTGCCAAACTGACCTCTACAAAGCTGTCACCTACCAAGGTCTCCAGAAATTTTTTTAAAAAAGTCGACCTTTATTAAGTTCTAATCTCTGGTCACGGTCACTTTTATACAATAATTTTAAATTTTTTAGGGAAATAGTTTATAAAAATTGGCTGAAAACTTGATATTAACGCTTGAAATATACCATGCTGTATGAAAATATTCTGCAGTTGAGGAATAGGTGCATGTTGAAGGCAGGTATAAAAGGATGTTTTTTTTAAAGAAAAGATTCAATCCTATTCTTAATTATCTGTGACACTACTCCCCCAGCGAAATCACGGATTAACGTACATGGGGCGAATATTTGCTTTTTCTCAGGGATATGCCCGAGTGGACTCAAAGAAGGATTTATCCGCTGGGACGACGAACAATCTGAGATAGACTACAAGGATAAACACTTCGGAGACCTACCTGATGGAAATTACGAGAAATCTCACACAACGATAAACTACTGTTGCAGTACAAAAGGCAATGTTAACAATCCTATTCAGCTGCCCGCTCTTAAACCTTTCTATCTTCTTACCTATGATTCCGCCCAGTGTCAGAAAGTGGCTGGAACCAAGGTTACAAGCGAGTTTATTAAGTTTGATGATGATGATCAAGGCAACACTGATGCGGCGGGTGGAGCCCATCCGTATGGACCCAGCGAAGATCCCTTTAATCTCAAGATTTACTACTGTTATTATGAGCCAGGTAAGTCAGGATCAATCAGCACGAGGTAATTTTTGCGGGCTCGATCCTCTCATCGCCCGCAATCCTAATCTCGAGGTTGCCATTGCGCATGTCTGGCACATATTTAGGCAGTATTCGTTGAGACTTCCGTTAAGAATGAACGGAGTGCATAGAAGACAATCTGATTACACGAGTTTGTACCTTTTATGTTGTGCGTTTTGCCACTCACGAATCAAACCCATCTCTTGCAATAAATCAGGTTGTTGTAGGTTGAAAAAAGTTTTGCAAAAAATAGAACGACTCTGTACTTTCTGCCATATATATAGTAACACATAAACGACTTTGGAAGGGAAAGATTGATGTAATTTTTAACGCGATGGGCCAAGGTTTTTGCACGCAATCGCTGTTTTTCCTTGAAAATTTAGAGCCGCTGCGAAGGAGACTAATATTTACTCTGACGTATAACGATTTCTGCTTTCTATTTATAGGTCAGGAGAGTGAGGACGATCTTGGAACAGGAAAGCAAGTTAGAAGCAAGGTAAGTCGTTACCTTAATTATTAGACACAGCACAGGTTCATATCATCAATTATCATTTTCTGGAACGAAAGCATCCGTCAGTCATAACCTTGTCTAAGACAAGACATTGCGACTGTCTCCTTTATAAGTGGTTTTCTTTTTCTAGTGCAAACATGACATGCAAAGTAAAAGGAACCCTTTACTGGACGTGAATTGTCGCATCTTACATTAAGCAGTCGGTAGCTTGTCTACAGACTTTTTCTTTTTTGCAACAATTCGACAGCGCGCAAGCGAGCATTAAGCGCATATTTTCTCTTTTCCCACCCCCAGCAACTTTCGCTTGCAGTGAATAAATTCTCTACGGTTTTTATTTTTATAGGTGTGCTCCACCATCTTTAAAGAGAAAATAGGGTCTGCTCTGTGAACAGGCTAGGCAGTTAGAGACCGAATGCTATTCCGTGAATAAAAAATGACAAAGATATAAATTTCACTTTTTCTAGATCCCAACTGGTAAAGCTTCGAGTTCAGGTTTAGCGGTGGCTATTGGCTGTGGCGTGGCTGGCGCCATTGTAGGAACCGCCTCAATTGCATTCGCCACCAAAAGGATTCTCGCGCACAGAGCACGTGCAGCGTATGATCTTGTGGATGACCCACAGCCTGATGGGCCATGATGTCATGTGACCTCACTACCCAAATAAGGAAAAGGCGAAACGTCATATCAACTCTTTGTATGCATGATAATTGTAGCTGCAGACTGCTTAACGTACAGTAGTCAACCAGCTCTGTTAATGCATTCTTAAATGCAATCACTGTGCCGTATAATTTCCTCTTTTCGTTATGAAAGGAAAATACTTGTTTTGGTAAGGGTAAAAAAAGTACAAAGCGGAGCTGAAGGTGGTTTTTAAATGTTAAAAAGCGGCAAATAAGGACTTCACGGAACGCTTGTGTTTTGAAGAAAACGCAAAAGATTTTAACTTATATATGTAATGAAGCCATTTATGTAACTGAATTGGACAATATACAGAATTGTTCTTTTAGGACATGCGGGGCAAAAACCACGATTGACGGATAATAAGGACAATAAAGGAGTCAAAACAGCACAGCCTAGGAAAACGATAGCTACAAAACAGAGAAAAAACTTGACAGGGTCTGAGGAGGATGACCCGTTTCTTTTCTACCACGATTAAGATATTTATTTCTTTCCCATCAATACAGTATGCTAAATATCTGTTAATTCAATTCATAAGTTAACAGGATGTACAGAATATAATAATACGTAATGTGAATGCTGAACTATTGTATTACCTTAGTAAGCTTTAGTATACGAATGGGTAAATGTAGTGAAAGGGAATTGAACAAGATAAACTTTTTACTGAAAAAGATCTCAATATTCACATTTATTGCGTTTGTTCAGTGACGAAGACCTTATCGAGAGTGGCCTTTGACTGAGATCACGATGACCTTGTTGACAAAAGTTTGGCTATCCTTCTCAGCGGAGATGATGATTGGATCTCATTTCATAACCACTACGTGTCTCTTCTACCCGGCAACTGTTATCAGTCCTTTCCTTAATAATCTTGATGTTGTATGAGTTGCGCCACTGGCTTTTTGTGATTCGTTTCTTACCCATCCTTGAAGTTAACAATTTAAGCTGATAGTTTCGCCTGTCTATATAAAGGTGAAACAAAAAGCGTCCACAAGTTCTTTACAATAATATTTAATGGTTAAGCTGTTCCGATCAATGCCTCTAGTCTCCTTCCTTGTGTATAGTCTATCTTTTAGACTCACAATTCGCGTCATATAAGGTGATGATCCGGATTCCGGAATCCTTTAGAATCGGAAATTCAGCTCCAAGAAGCTGGAATCCAGGTTCCACTGACAAGAAATCTGGTCCAAGACTGTCTCCGATGACCTTATTTGGGGCGACATAGTACAATTCACGTCGATGAGCGCGCTGCATTCTGCGCAAGACGATTGACGTACCACATGCAAATGAATTACTGACTTGAAAATAGTTACCAGTGATTTACAGCCGGCACTTTATGGAAAGCTGAAGGTCACCGTGTTGTGATGACAATGTGGTACCTGCATATTAGCATGTGGCAAAATCTCCCGCCAAATGTTATCGATTGAGGGCACAATTTCGTGATAGAGCTTACGCCACCAAACCCTTCATTGTCACTGAAACTCTGTCAACACCAGAGAAAGGGGTGTGAACCGGGAAAAAAGAAAATAACATGAGCATCACTCTGCTCCAAAGGGCGTTTCCTCCACTGACGAAACTAACAAGACGAAAGAGATATTTTGTGGAAATGGATCCGCTTAAGGTGTTTAGTGACCATTAGTTTGTTTGTCTATGCTTCACTGTTATTCAGGGAGGTAATTTTGTACTTGTACGTAAGGTATCAGTTACACTGAACTTATCTGAAAGGTTTCACCCAATCTGGGCCATTCTAGATACTTCCGGCTACAAACTGTTCAATAAGCACAACTCTTAAATGAGAACGGAAGTGGCGAAGAATCCTAAGCGATTATATATTTTATGTTCCTATAATTAACTTTACTAAATAAGTAACCTTTTTCTCGATGCAGCAAGCTGTTTGTATAATGATGCTCCAGGGCCATTTATACGAGGAAAAGTAAGATGCCTCTTAAATAAGACACGGACTTTCCTTATAAACGGCACATTTCGTCTAAAATAAGACGCGACTAAGCTAAGACGCGTCTTATTTTTCCTCGTATAAATGGCCCTATTGCCTTTTGCAGAATTATGGCAATTACGTTTAGACAAAACAACGCTTAAGTCTTTAATTGGTTTCAAAGCTAATTCCCAAAGAAACTATCTTCCTGGAGAATTCCCGTGGCTGTGTTTGCTGAAAATCTGCGGCGGGATTCGGAACACTATCCTGATAAATTCCAACTGGCTGCGAACGAAGTGGTTACATTGCCTTAAATAACCGGTACGACTGCATATACAGGGAACTTCAAGCGTATTGTCATTTTTCACAAATTAAAAGAAAATGATTTTTAGTTTTAATCATGATTTTTATTTTTTTTTGACTTTTTCTGAAAGATCGTCAGTATAGGAGACGGTCATATTCATTGTTCTGTCGGCTGTGTAAAACAACTAGTAATCAGTTATTATAAAAGAGCTAAAAAAAATCGCAATAAAAAGCAGAAACGAGTCCAGCGCTTGAAAGTGGACACAAAATTAGTAGAGGTATAAATAAACGCTCAATGAATCCTGTCTTTTCCATGATTATTTTATTAATCAAAGCAGTAACTAGCTTCCGATTGGTTAGATATATATATAGCATTTCAAGGCCATGAGCCGGCCTTTCCTATCTCGTTGTTTCGCTCGTTTTTAACGTCTAACGCTGACATAGCGCCATCAATAGTTTCTGCCACATCAATAATGAAGCATTACATTAATTGCAACTTATCATAAAATGCACGTGTTAAAATAGGTACCAGGCTTACCACAAGTTGTTTGTTCAGTCTTGTTCGCAGATTAAAACATGACGAGACTCGGTGTTCAGTAAAATGGGGATAGCCCTCGGTGTTTTATGGCTAACGCACTTTATTTCGTGTGGCTGGTGTTCCATACCAACAGGTAATTTATAGAATAAGTTTTGAAGATACCTATAGCTAGTTGAAAACCGTTTGTCTGGTTCAAAACCCACCTACAAATTCAAATTAATAACTTGTTATTTAATTTTCAGGTATATTTCAGCAGTATCTTCTAAACGATATCTTGCCGTCAAAATTCTAGATAGACCAGATCGCTTTTTTAACTCACTGCTCTTTCGGCAGCTACTTGTTCGAGTGCTACTGATATTTTGTTTTTAGGCTTTCCTTACCCTTGTCACATTAAAAACGCTCCCTTTGTTGTCATGGCCTGTTAACAGAGCTGGTACATATTACAGACTTTAAATAGAAAAAGCAGGTTGTCATGCTTTTTTACGAAGAGGACGCGACGTTTCCAACAAAGAAACTGAAGGATTCAGTTTTCGTTTAGACTGAGATTCAGCGACAACAATTATGGCTTTTAATGAACTGCCTTACCAAACAGTCGAATGTGAACGCCCATGAGAGTTTTACTGGAGGAACCCCAAATTTAAATTGTGTTTTTACTGCGCGGATATGAAAGGCCATTTAATCAAATAACGGGGTTTGAAACTAATTTCCTCAGTTTAAGGAAAAAGTCAGTACAGCCAAGCGCACTGACAAGTTAAAGCGCGCCAAAATAATGCCTGCGGCTTTGAAGCTGCGGCTGGCTAATGGATGGCTTGCGACTTCTATTCGCACATGCATATTTACTATCACAAGGAGAGCGATGGCTGACTTTTCAGACAACAACAAAGTTCCGTTCTTAACCTAAGCTTTTGTATTTTCTACCATAGACACCAAGGCAATGATTTTTAGCGGAGCTGCGCCCGAGCGGAGCCCTATAGTTAGGAAAATTTGGTTATCTAGCCATCCGAGAAATTTTGGTAGTCACGTGACCGTACGTCCGTCTGTCCACTCGTCCGTCCGCACCACAGGACAACCAATGTGAAATCTCACACTTTCTAGCTAGTGTAGGAGCCTGCAACCTGATGATGCACATCAATGTCGTGATAAATTGACAGCTGTCAAAATAGGGTATCCGCTGACTAGTATCACATGGCTTTATCGCGGACTCAGGTGTCGACCCATCTAGGTTACGTGTTTTTTTGTAGTTATCCACTGAAAAGTCACTTGTTTTCAACTAATCGCTGGCTCAACTCCAAGTGGATTTCTTTGCAATGGTTACAAGTTTATGGTTTAAAGTAAATTAGAAATTTATCACCGGGAGCTTCGCCTTTAGCCTTGGATAAATCTATATATTGCGCTTATAAAATGTTCGACGACAAATTTGAGCCAAGTACTTAACAGTAGGCCTTGACGACATCAAGCCCTTGTTTCGTTTTGTTGTTGTTTTGTTTTTATGGTGTTATTTCAGGTGAACAAAGATGGTCTGCGAGCTTCCTCAGTCAAGCCAGTGAGCTTTCGTGCGAGCCTGGCAAGGTCAGACGCAACGCCACTTTTCTCCATGGTACTAAATCGGGGAATTTTACCAAATTAGGAAAGGTTTCTGATCTGGAAGTTTGCACGCTACTATGCTGTGAGCTGGATCGTTGTCAGGCTGCATTTTTGGCGGGGACCAACTGCTATGCAGTCACGTGTTTCACAAAAAATCATTGTGCGACTGTGCCAGCACTGAACAACAAATGGCAGCCAATGGTCGCTTTTGTGAAACGATTCAACAAAGTTGCTCACGTGGAAGCAGGTAAGAACCGCTTGTTGACCTGTTTTGTTTTTTTTGTCTGTTTCTGCCATTATTTTTTTTGTAAAATAGACAAGTTTCATATCTCCACTGTATATAGGAGTTCAATAAGAAAATGAATTAAAGAAATTAAGAAATAATATGAGTACACGTTCTTCCTAATCTTGAAGGGAATATTTTTCTCTTACCCAATGTGTTAGTTAGTAACCTTGTAAGAGTCTACAAGAGTTAAACCTGTCAACTAAACACTGCGTTTTCATTTTTGCGTAATTCATTTTATAGCATCAAATGATGAGTCACAAAATGACCAGGATGCTGCTGTGCATGCTGGGAAGACGTATACGGAAAGTAAAGAGGAGTCTAAATCCCATTCTACTTCCACTGGGGCGAAGTCCAAAGAGGACATGCGACTGAAAGTGTTTTCTAAAGAACACAAACTTAAAGCGGCCTCGAATAGTGGAGTAAGACTCACAATAAAAACTGACGGAAAAACGGATGGTGTTCAACTGGAAGAGTTACAGAAGCAGACTTCATTACATAAAAAAGTAAGTATTAGTTATTGCAAAGTCACTTTCTTAACGTAGGCTCTAGTTACTAGTCCCTTCAATAGTTTTCCGTTTCTCCGTATGGGGAAGACATGTAGCCTGCCAAAAGGCAGTCGTCTCTCCTCGCTCCTCAGTGACATTTCGCGGGGAATCTCTCCCGCGCGGCCG